AAAGTGTTAGGAAAATCAGGATAAAAGGATCCTATCTGTTTTACCTATTAACATCTCCCGACCACCTTTTTCAATGAATCAGTTTTGATAATACCTAGTGATTAAAATGAAGGTCAGAGGAATGTATTTATTAAAATGCAGACTTCCTGGTCACAGCCCAGAGCTCCTGAAGGTGAGGTAGTACTTGGGATCTGTATTGTAAACAAAGACACCCAAGTGATTCTGATAGAGACAAGAAGCATGTCCTTTATAGAGAATGGGATTTGCCTTGTTTTAGATCACATACTGACCTGATGCTATTTGACTTCCTGAAATTATCATTTTTATTATGAATTTGAGATACCCATGGAGTAATTTTGTCTTGTGAAATCTCTAAGATACTTAAATCCACTCAAAATAATGTAAATAAGAATAAATGTATTAAAGGGATATGGCAGTTTCTAATAGAAAGCAGACAAGACTCATGAGAGATTAGAAGCAGGAACTGGAAAGCATGGCCTTTGCTTGTTCTCTGTACTTTTTTTTTTTCACACATATGTTTCATTCTTCCTCTTTTTTAAAAAAAATATTTATTTATTTATATTTGAGACAGGATCTTACTGTGTTGTCCAGGCTGGTCTTGAACTCCTGGACTTAAGCAATCTTCCCATCTTGGCCTCCCAAAGTCCTGGGATTACATGAGTGAGCCACCATGCCCAGCCTATTTCATTCTTTACCTGCATATGGTAGAGAAGGACCAGTCTGGGCAGATTTGTGTGTGTTCTCTATTCAGGGGCCCAGGACTACCTCCTTGGAGCATCCTAACTCAAAATTCTTAGGAGAAAGAATCTGACTCGCTCAACCTAAGTCAGTTATATCTACCTCTGATCCAATCAGCTGTGGCCACATATGTCCACTACCCAATAAGAAGAGTCTTCTAATAACAAAAAGTTGGAAGAAATGAAAGGCATACTAGGGTTTCATTTCCAAATTAAACTGCAGTCACATTTAATCCCATGGTCATTCTTATTTTTCCTGCTCTTTCTTGAAACACAGCATCTAAAACAAGGGTCAGCAAACTACTGGAGTCTGGCCCACTTCTTATTTTTGAAAATAAAGTTTTATTGGAATACTGCCATACTCATTCACTTCTGTGTTGTTTATGGCTACTTTCTTGATAAACTAGCAGATTTTAGTAGTATATACAGAGACTGTCTTACAAAACCTATAATATTTACTGTTTGGTCCTTTACAGAAAAAGTTTGCTGACTCCTACTCTAGAATTCCATCAGTTTTATTTCTAAATTATAACCAATGTTTTATGCATGTCAGTTCTATTTTCTTCCAACAAGTATCGGGCAATTTCTTAGACTTTGGTCATTTGCACTCCACTTGCATGATGTCAGAGGTTCTGGCTTCTTCTTCCCTCTAATCCACTTTGCTTAGCATAGGGCAAGGCACTGGGAATCTTCACACAGCCCTGTTGACTGATTTTAAAAATTCTCGGTACAAATACAGCCATATTTCCTAAGGTGTGAAACACATAGTATTGATGATTTGCAAGATTATTTTAGTTAGTACTTGACATAGTTTGAGGTGGTATATGGTCATGATATTAAACAACATTAAAAGGCCAGACATGTTTGCTCAACCTGTAATCCCAGCACTTTGGGAGATCAAGGCAGGAGGATCACTTAAGCCCAACCTGGGCAGCATAGTGAGACCTTGTCTCTACAAAAAAAAAGAAAAAAAGAAAAAGAAAAAAATTCCCTGGCATGGTGGCAAATGCTACTGAGGAGAGGTAGAGACCACGGTGAGCTATGATCTCTGTACTCCAGCCTGGGCAACAGGGTAAGATCCCAATTAAAAAAAAACAAAACATTAAATCGCATCATGATAAGGTTATTCTCTCTGAGTTTTCTTTTAGTCTAATTACTTGAACAAGAAAATCTCATTTGATGGCAATATGCTTTCTATTCTAATATCATTTTCCCCTTTAACAAGAAGAAAATGCAGGATCTGACTCAGAACCTTTAGCAGCCAGCAAGAGCTAGCTTAAATTTACTGTCACTTCTTTGCTTTTATTTATTTTTATGCTTATCTTCCATTTAGGACTGGTGATACTGGCTTGCCATTAATAGTGGTGATATAAAGTTTCCTTTTCAGATTTAGTTAAGTAAAAACGTGACTAGATTTTTAAAATGCTAAGCACATAACAGCTTAGGTGGCAGGAAAAAATGTGGGAAAGGCGCATGAATGATTGAAGTTTGAAAAAGCCAGTGCTATGGTAACTGACATAGATACAAAGCAGTCCTGGTGCCCAGAGAAGGGAGTGGCCGATTTGGTCTAAGTGGATCATTCGAGGTTATAGAAGGAGGTAACATCTGAGCTGAGTCTCAAATTTTCCAGGTAGTGAAAGAGTGTGGAAGTGCATTGCAGGCAGTAGTAATAGAATATTCAAAGGAAAGGAAGGACCAAGATGTGCTCACGGAATTGTTTGGCTTTCGGCAGCCCCTGAAGGATTTTTACCATTCAAGTAGCATGGTCAGAACAGCAATTTTAAAACAGTTGTTCACTCAAGCAGGTTAATCTCTCTGAGCCTCAGTTTTTTACCTATAAAATAGGGATAATTGAAACAGGTATAGGATGTCTACCCTTGTCTCTGGTGCAGGGGGGATTTCTCAGCCATTCTGTCCTGTCTCTCTTCTATGCAGAAGGCTAGGGTATCATATCATGACTGCATGTGCTTTCAAGGTATACAGAGTGCCCTACCCTCTGTTCTTGGTTGGGGGTGGAGGGCGGGGTTGCAGGTATTCAGGATTGTTGGATGGTGACAAGTTAGGGAGGGTGTCCACAGTCGAGGACAGCTCAGCTGAGCCCCTCCTACTGGACTCTGCTCATCCATCTTCAGGCTGGGTCACCTTCCTGCATCCTCCCTCTTCCCTGTAGTTACCCCAGCCCCAGCTTTCTCAAAATCCAAGGACAGAAAATCTCTTATTTCCATCTGACTCTACATCTTAGGACAGTGGCTTCCTTGAGTCCCTGTTTCTGCCTTGGTGAGGGCTGAGGAAGGAAAATACAGTCCTTGAGTACCAAGGAGAGAACAGAGGGAGATGGAAAATGAACTGGAGACATCCATCCTAACGCTTTTGAGCCCTCCCCTGCCATGTACACTGGCAGGTCTGTTTTGAGGCTTAAGGAAATGTCCAGCAGGTAGGACCCATTCAGATTGGTAGTTCTTATGTTTTATTGTGGTGCTGTGGGAGGAAGACTTTGAGAACAATCCTCTTGTGTCAGGAGTCCTCTTCCTAAAGTGTCCCAAGTCCCTTGGTCTGCTTTGACTGCGCCACCCTGGCTGTGATGAGAAGATGATGGGAACAGGAGATGGGAACTCTGTGAGCTGGCTAGCTCATCTGGAGAGCTTCAGTGCATGGATGCATGTTCTAGAAGCTTCTGTGCATGAGTCCAGTCAGACTTTTTATTGTTAGGATGAGAGCCAAGCAGAGTGTGTTGAGCTGCTCTGCTGCTGCTTTTCTGCTGAGCTTGCATCCTCTGGTCTGCTAGCTAAGTCAGATGTGAGCACTTTATTTCCTCAACCACCTACACTCCTTAAGGTTCTTCTGGAGCTCAAGGGGAGCATTTAAAGGCAGAGACTTTGGTCAGGTAAGACTGCCCTGGCCCTAACTGAATTTATGGTGTGACAGATTACTTACCCACCTGTGTCTCAGTTTCCTGTAAAATGGAATTCATAATGATCTCTACTTCCTAGGATCTTATGCAAAGTAAATGAGAAATAATTTGTTCCTTTGATAAGTGCTCAAAAATATAGTAGTGACTAATTTTGTTGCGTGCAGAATATCTGCCACAATGCATGCAGTAAATGCTTCAATCTGATTGTTTCTTCTTCCAGGAAATCTTCCCAGAAGCTCCCAGGCGAGGTTAGATCTTTTTGTAATGTGGTTCTCCCCTGTGCTTCCTAAGAGGTTTCTTGAGAATAGTACCTGCTGGTCCTTGTTCCCTCTGGCATAGTCACAGCCAATGAAAATAACGATGTGTCCATGAGCCACACCGGTTAACTGGCCCTGATTGTGACCACAAATCGCAAGGTTAACTGGCCCTGATTGAGACCACAAGTTGCAAGAAGGAAGCCCCAAGATAATAGGAGAGGCTGTTAAAATATTACATTAATCATCCCTATAATTAATTCCAGTCTTTTTCCTCTTTGGAGTTCAGAGTCGAAGAACATGCCTGTTTGTTTATTGCTATATTCCCAGTGTATAGCAGCCTCTTAATGAACATTAAATTGTTGAATTAATAAAGAACAAGTGACTCAGTTTTATCAGACACCCTCTCATTCAATAAATAGTTATTGAACATATACGATGTACCAGGCACTCTTGTAGCTCTTGGGTTATGCCTGTAAACCAAATAGGCAAAAATCCTTGTCCTCACGGGCCTTATCTTCTAGACATCTTGGCTGGACATTGATACGTATCCAAGAAGGATCAATACTCAGTCATCTCTCCTGGAACCATCTTCTCTTAATTGAGTTCAGTCATTCAAAGTGTGAGGTTAGGGACAGGAACAGCAGCTCATACCTGTAATCCCAGTGCTTTGGGAAGCCAAGGCAGGAGAATTGTTCATGCCCAGGAGTTCAAGACCAGCCTGGGCAACATAGCAAGACCCCTTCTACAAAAAAAGGTGGGGGGGGAGCTGGACCTGGTGGTTCTTGCCTGTAGTCCTAGCTACTTGGGAGGCTGAGGTAGGAGGAACATTTGAGTCCAGGAGTTCAAGCCTGCAGTGAGCTAAGATCACACCACTGCACTCCAGTCCGGGCAATAGAATAAGGCCCTATCTCTTAAGAAAAAAAAAAAATGAGATCAATGGAGAACATCATCTATTGTTTCAGAGTCAGTAGAGGGCATCTGTGCAAAACTGGAAGTGGATTTGAATGAACAGCTGCCTAAGACTGTTCCCCAGGCTCCTTCTCACTGCTCTGACATACTTGCTCTCTTTCCCAGGTCATGCTCTCAGAGCGAAAAGGCACAGATGAGCTCTATGCTGTGAAGATCCTGAAGAAGGATGTCGTGATCCAGGACGACGATGTGGAGTGTACCATGGTGGAGAAGCGGGTGTTGGCCCTGCCTGGGAAGCCACCCTTTCTGACCCAGCTCCACTCATGTTTTCAGACCATGGTAACGTGTCTGGTGGCCCTGGGTATTTCACCCCCAGGGCTTCGCCAGGCTTCGAGCAAGACTATCCTAGCAGCACCCACCCTAGAGAGAGACATGGGCCCTTCCCGTTCTAGAAACAGAAAGATGAGGGGCCCAGGGAAGTCGACTGAGAATTCTGAAGATGCCACTGAGAAGCGTTCTCCCCTGAGGCAGATGCTGTTTCAACTCAGATAAAAGAACTCAGGCAATTGGTTTTATAACCAACAGAGCAGGGCTTTTCTCTGACTGCAAGGGGTGACTTAGGGACAGGAACTTGGTGAAAGGGTTCACAGATTGTGCCCCGAGATGGTTTCACTTGGCCCTCCAGCCCTTTAGATAAATGCACAAGCATCTCTCTGCAGGTTGCCTGAGGCCTTTGCATGGGCCTCCTGGGAGAGGGGTTGCCTGAGAACACAGCCCTCAGAGGACTCCCAAGGCAGGAGCACAGTGTTGTAGGCAGGGGCTTAGTGAGCTCAGAGCTGTGACTGCCAAGTTGAGATGTAAACACTTGTCCACTGTCTGCTGTTGACTGTGATTTCAACTCTATCTGCAAGAGTAAGAGATACCCCTTTCAGTGACCTCTTACCTTTCCCCTATTCAAATTAAAACTTGACCTCCATATCCAAGGAATGAGAGACTAGAGCCCAAGTACAAAGAGGCACAAAGTTAATTCCTGCCTTTGGGGCTTCTCAGGGTCCATGGCCTAGTGTCAAAGATGCTTTCAGGATTTTTCCAAGATTCGTTTTGACTCTATCTGGCTCTTAACCTACATCCTGATGTTAGAGCCCAACCTGTCTGTGAGATGGGATGCTATTGTATTTTGCATCTAATTTGATGTGTCTTTAAAATCTTTAATCTAGTGAGTTCCCTGTTGCTTTTTTTCTTTTCTTTTACCTGCTGACATGATTCTGGGCTGTTTGACCTGTAGCATTTTCAACACCGATAGTTGGGTTTTGCCGACTATCAGTCTTGGCACACCTCAACATGTTTCCTTCGTCCTCTGTATTTCCTACAAAACTTGGCAGCTGGATCTGGAGGCTTGGTCAGATTCCCCTTCGATCCCTTTGGCAATACCATAGATGGTGGCGTGTTCTTTCGTCCAAAGGCACATAATGTCCGGTTGTCTGTCGTAGTGATGCTGGCAGCAACTCATCCTCGGTGCTTAGATCCATTAATTCACTAGGGATTGTAAGATGATGCTATTCTGATTCTTTAATATTTTTTCATTTACTATTGGAATGCTTTTATAAAAAGGGGCTTCCCCTCATCCATTACTCAGTTCCCTGGTGACATGGTTCATATAGGAAAGGCAGGATAAATGCTTGATTCTTTTCCTTTATTTAACAATTGTCAAGATAACAAATTGGTTCACTCTTATGCTCCAAGGGTGACTAAAGTTTGCTTTTAAAATAAAATTTTTGAGTAGAAGAAGAGAATCAATGGAAAGAAAAATATTAAGGGGGTGATAATTTACATCATGTTGGGGTTTGCCTTACCTTACTGTCCAAATTGCTAGTCTTACCTTGGGGAATTAAGGCCAAAAGATGTTCAAGAGGTGGCAGAGACAACACTAGCATTTCAACCTGTAGACTCCCTACTCCCTGGCCTTCTGCTTTTTCCATTGGCGGTTCCCAAAGTGACTCACTGACATCTCTGGGTAAAGATCAGTCTCAGTCTGGTAAACAGGCTAAGAAGGAGACCTTGTTCTCAAGGGAGAGGCGGAGCTAACTTGGAGCGACAGTTTTCAGCTTCAGTTAGCTATGTTGAGATTGTGGCAAATTAATCATGTGTGGCTGATGTTTATTAAAGCATAGTATCTTTGTAGTTTACTGTTTTCAAAATGATGAAGTAAAGTGGGTTTGAGGTTATTCCTTTACTATCAAGCTGCCTCATTCCCTGTTTTTCAATACGCTTTCTGGAATTAGAGTGTGGGGGCTGGGTTGACATGGAAATTGTGCAGAGCTCTGGGTCCTCTTTAGGAGGTGTCACATGCCAGGGAAGAGAGTTAAGACCTGCGAGAACCTAGGACATGAGCTTTTAGTGGTTTTGTATCCTACATAAAGGGGAAGGACTCCCATGTTGAGACCGGTGCAGTTTCCTGATCCAGCAAGGTCAGGGATGAAACAGATTGTTTTCTCATTGGTTGAGGATCACTTGAAATCATTCACCTGTCTCTAGGGACTGTATTGTTTTGGGGGGGGAAACAGGGGAGATACACTCACTGCAAGCAAGAAGACCCTTGGATGCTAAGTGCAGCCAGTTGAGGGAAGAGCAGAGACACCTTCCATCTCACCTGCATTTTGTGCATATGCTTATTGAGTGAAATGCTCCTAAATTATTTTTTTCAATTTTCTCTCTCTCTCTCTTTTTTTGGATAAGCACATATATTTTAATTTTGCATAAATTAACTTTATGTTCAAAGACACATAATAATGCCTACTATATGTGAAGCTAACAATTTTAAGTTACATGACAACTTAGATGAATCCTATCACCATTCCTGTTTCATAAACTAGGGCACTGGAGCCACACAGCTAGTACCTTTCAGGGACAGGATTTGAACCCAGGAAGTTTGGCTTTAAGGGGCTTTGCACTTAACCACTACACTCTGAAGTCTGTGGAGTGTGGATCCCCTGACAGTCACTCCACAGACACCTCCAGGGTGGAATCTCCCATCACCAGCCTGTCTCCAGGCTCGACTAGGGACCTGAGCTCTAACCCAGCCCTCTCATCTCTTACCTGCTCAGTGAAATCACATTGTCCCTCCATCCCTTAGCTTTTTTATCACTGCGATAGAACTAACTTCCCAGGTGAGTATCTACCACGCATGGGTCTTCCAAAGTGTTGTTTCATTTCAGCCTCACACAAATCTTGCAGTGGAAGACATGATCTGTTGTCATGCTTTGCAGGGGAAAGGATTAAAGGTCTGGGCTGCATGGAAGTTCTTCCTAGACATAGCTCTGGGGCACTGAACCATTGAACTCAGAGCCCAAGTTTTTGTTAGTGCATCTTGTTGGATTGCCACCAAAGGGGCCCTGACAATGATAGTGAAACAACAAGAACAAAAAGCAGCGGCTAATAGCAGTGAGCACTTCTGTATGTGTTGGGTGCTGTACTCAGCTCTCTAGTTGTATTTTTTTAGTTTGTCCTCCCAACACCTCTATTGGTACTATTAATAAATTTATAGATAAGAACGCTGACATTCAGAGAAGTTAAGTAACTCATGCAGCGTCACACGGTTAGTAAGTTGTGGAGCTGAGATTTGTTCTGTAAGACTCTAGAACCCCCAGCCTAGAAGCCTTTGCTCTCCTAACTGTGCCTTAACTTCACACTCCTATTTTAGTTTGTAAAATATTTGCACTTTCATACATCTATTCTTTGCAAGAACACCATAAGTATTACTGTCCACATTTCTGCCTAAAGGAAATCGACCCCCCCAGAAAGATGAAATAGCCCAGGTTACACGATTGATAAGTGACAGCCCCAGGACTTGAGGCCAGGTTTCTTAATGGCCCTTTGGGTATTTTTTTCTGCTGTGAAATAGTTACTTCACTTATCTGTAAGGATTAGGTAAGATTTTATCAATGGGAGTGAATATTTAAATTTAGGGAGCATTGCATATATAGGAGGCAAACCACTGTTATCATAACTCAGGTAAGCAGGAAGGGAACACCCTTTTCCAGAGAAGCCCCATGTAGGTAGTCATCTGGCTCATGCTAATCTTCTAGCATCACATGACTGAGCCCCAGAGTGGTGCTTCAGAGAAGGTTATAGGGTTAAAGCAAGTGATATCCCAGTAATACTGGTATTACTGCCAGTATACAGAAGGTACTAATGCTTATTGGTTATTTCAGTGATTATTTTGACAAATATTTATTTGTTGAAATAAATGTGTTAGGCCCCAGCTGCACCACCACGCTGTGGTATGTCGGTGAACAAAAGAGATCAAGCCCCTGTTCCCTTGGAATTTACACTGTCATGAGGCAGGCAGATAGTAAACGATAATAGCAACACAAGTCAAGGGGATAGAGGTGGATGGACTGGGGCAGAGAGATGCTTTTTTTGATAGGTTCATCAGGGAAGGCCTCCCTGGTAAGATGACATTTGAGCAGAGACCAGAGCAAGAGAGGGGGTTAGGGCTGTGGCTATCTGGGGGCAACGTGTTCCAGACAGCAGGAAGAGTGAGTGTGAATGCCTGGGGCGTGAGCATACTCAGCGTGTTTGAGGAACAGCGAGGAGGCCGGTGTCACCCGAGTGGATTGTCATTTTGTATTTTGTGACCCAGAATTCTTTTTAAATTAGCTACCCTTAAAAAAATTGACAAATCTAGTATAACATGCTGTAAACTTAGAATTTCAAAGATAAAAGATCTTTAATAGAATTTTAAAAAATCCTTCAAATAGTCAAAATAATAGATTAAAATGAAAGAGAGAGCCAGCCATATACAAAACCATTTTTGTCACTATGAAAATGATGCGAATTTGATTTTTAAAAACTTGTTTAGGAAAGCAGAGTTACTTCAGAAATATCCTTATATTGGAATAAAACTATCTTTCAAAAATCAGCATGGCATAATGTTTAACAGAAAATGTAGCATGTTAAATCCTATTTAAGATGTTTTTCAAAATGTGTTAAAATTGAATATGCACGTGGAAAAGAATCAGAAGAGGGTAAAGACAAATCAAAATATTGATTTTATTTAGGGAGGGGTCTGTGAATAATTATCTTCTTTTTGAATTTATATTATTTCAGAATTATTTATAATACAGCAGCTTAAATTTTTAAAAATGTGCCACAAGATGGCAAAGTTAGTACCCAAAGAGATGCAAAAGCTCTCAGAAGATGGTTGTATTTTCAGAAAATTTCTCATTAGACAGGCTGGTTCTAGGTGAATGGGGTTTAGGCAAATTGTCCTGTAATCATAAAGGGATATGCATGCATTCCTGAGTTAGGTTCATCTGAATCTGTACTTACTGTCTATA